TCCCTGTGCTGTACGACATCAAGCATCTCATGAAGTACTGCGGCAGCCTCCATGGTGGCTTGAGCAAGCTTGGTGAGCTACTTGGTGTCCAACGTGTGGGGATCTGCCACCAGGCTGGGTCCGACTCGCTGCTGACCTTGCGGTGCTTCAAAAAGCTGAAGGAGGCATATTTCAGAGGATCGACCGAGAATTATGCCGGTGTATTGTATGGTCTTATTTCTGATGGTGGGGAGAACAGACCACCAGCAGCTCTGCTCATCGAATGAGTAATGGATAGTCAAATAAGACAATGTTATGGTTGAAAAAAAGGAAATGTTTCTGTTGAATATATGCTCTCTGATCTGAATATTTGCTTCTGGTTGCCATAGTATAGCTATTGTTCCCAGTTATATGACTCTCGTTGCTATATCATGGTAGTTCTGTTGAATACTCGGTCTTTCCCTTTGAGCTGTATGGGACATCTATCAAGGTTTGGGACAGCCCTTGATGGCACGACTGAAAATTGAACTGTTGTGCATTATGGGGGGAATCCAGTCATTCATATAGAGGTGTCAACCATCTGGTCTTAGTTTTGCTGCCATATTGCCTTTCTGTGGAAATCAATCAACTCTTCATTGTTTGTGTTGATTTTCATTCTTCAGAATGAATGATTTTCATATTGCAGCTCAAAGTAGTTGATTAATATTTTTTTCAGTCTAGACTATTAAGTACTCCCTCTGATACTAAATATTTGTCTTTCTAGAGATTTCAACAAGTGACTACATACGGAGCAAAATGAGTGAATCTACACTGTAAAATATGTCTATATACATCCGTATGTGATAGTTCATTTGAAATCTCTAAAAAGACAAATATTTAGGAACGGAGAGAGTATGTCCAAACATGTTTCTGCATGCTCTGTATTTGATCATATCATTGCTTGCACAGCCCTAGCACCTCTTTTCAACTATTGTAATGGATGTCCTGCAAGGTAAACACTATTTGACTGGCTCCCCTTAATTACTGGGACTTGACAGTAATGTAGAATGTCTATTTTAGCAGCCTTTTAGGTGCATAGGTGCACAACATGTGTTCTATGATACCAGTTTCTTGCTTTATTTCGCCAACGTATCACAAATACCATTTCAGTAAATGCGGAGCTTGATTCAGCGTTCTACTTTGGTTTTGTCCCATACTGGGAACCACTCCATTGATATCAAACCTACAGTTTTTCTCTTCACAGGTGATAAGATAAGATCGAGGTCTTCTTTTGGAACGGAGGGAGTAGGAATTAAACCTACAGTTTTTCTCTTCACGGGTGATAAGATAAGATCGTTTGGTCCTTTACAGTGGCAACTGAGGGCTTCTTTGGATTGC